GATGTTAGTGAAGAAGGGAAAAATCATGAAAAGTACACACACCAAAATCATGTCATGGCTGAACCTTGGGGATGAAGACTTGAGGAACAGAGAATAATGACGGGGAGGGAGAAAGAAGGTGTGTTGAGGAAGAACTGAGGGAATTGGGGTTAGAGACCTCACAGCACCTTACCTTTAAGATGGCATAAAGTAGAACCGATGCACCAGCTTCTCCATCTCTGGTGCTGTTTCTCCGCTTTCTGCTCTGCCCTTGGTTTGTGTGTACTTAAGTCATGAAAACAGGCTGTGGAAGAGCAGAGTGACCTTGTTTTTGCTGCTTGTGACTTCTCAGACAAGCTGTTTCCACTTGTGGGAGCAGAGGGATGAATCAACACCTCATGCCCCGGGAGCGAGTTGGGAACCTCCATTTGCACACTAAGCCTCATTTTTCTTATCAGAAAATCAAGTCTGCCTTGCCTTTTTCTAAGAGTGGATTCATGAAGTAATATATGTGATGGGGCTTCATCAAGTGTGATGTGCTCCACAGAGGTGAGGTGTTATATAAGTATGACCATGCTTTAAAGCTCTTTCTCCACAGAAAGATACAGAAACAACTAATGGCTAAGTAAGTGACTGTTTATTAGGTTTCAGCTTCTTCTCAGGGTTCTTCTCATTTTATCTTCATGGACACTTTATTGGGTAGAGGCTATTATTTTTCTCATTTTGTAGATGAGGTAACTGAGGCCCAGAGAGTTTAAGTCACTCTTCCAAGGTCACACAGTGATGAAATTAGGATTTAAGCCCAGGATAACCTCATTCCACGTTTATACCGCATGTAATACTACCCTCAGGAGTGAAGCAACTGTTAGTTGCCACTTTTCAGAGGGTTGGCAAGTAGTCGAGTCTAGTGCAGGTCAGCAGAGGTAGAGGGCTTTCTGTGTGTACCATATTCCTTATCCGACCTGCCAGATTCCTCTTATTATCCTTTAATCAAAGGAGGGTGAAATACTTTGTGTCCTCTGTGCCTGATCTGCCCTCGTTCCAGCATTCCTCACCACTGACCTAAATCCCTGCCACGGTGTCTCAGACTGTCTGTGATAAAGAACCAGTTTGCTTTGGTTTTACTTTTCCCCCTCAGTCCAACGCAGCCTGATAAGTTTTGTAAACGTGTAAAAACTCCTGCTTGGATGTTACTGCAATGTCAAATAACTTTAAAATGTTTTCAAGTTTCTAAACATTTGCTGTCAGTTTGTATGCTAACTTGTTGCAGATGGTGAACAGTTCTCTGACTAGCACTGGTCCCCATACCGTGGCTTCATAGCATTGTCCTAGGTTTCTCTTTGCTTTCACTGTTGCCTCTTGTAAGCCATGTACCACAAAGCAACTAGGGTGATTCTTTAAAATACACATAAATTCCCATCGTTCCCCTGCTCAAACCCTCCAGTGGCTTCCCATTGCATTTAAAATAAGGCCCAGATATTCACCATGGCCTAAGGGTAGGCTGGTTCTGCCTACATCCACCGCCTCCATCTCCACCTTGCCCAATTTTTCCCAATGCTTGTGAAATGTAGTCAGACTTTGGACAATAAAGTAGGTTCAGGTAGAGGACACATAATGATTGGGAATGGGGAATACACTTTGTTTTATTCTTTCATCTACAAGCTCAGACATGGACTAGTGCTTCCATCACTTTTCTCCAGGAGAAAGGACTTTGCCCCTAGTTTCAAAATGAGTGAGGTGGCCAAGTCCCAGAGAAGGCCTGTGAGCATCTCTGCTTGTATAGTGTAACCTACTGTTCCTCTGATAGACTCAGCCTCAAAATGTCCAAATTCTGTTCACACCTGATACCTGCTTTTTAGGCTGTTTCCTTCCCCAGAAAATAGTATGGTTGTGAGTCAAGATGGTACAGGGGTCATTCCAATTTCTCTTAAAAATGGAGAATGGAAGACTGATCATGTGATTGTTATTACTGTTGGTGAAAATTCATTGGTGGGGAGCATGACTTAATTATTTAATGAGCTGAGGAAAACCAAACATCCTGGCAAAACAATTTCCAGGCTGAATTGGCTTTGGTCTTGGGCACATGCCATCCAAAGGGCCTCTGTGGGGAGGCAGCCAAGATTCTCTCCCCATCTCGCCATTGCTTTCCAGCCTTTGAATGGAGCACTTCCGTTGCAATGAATGAGAAGGAAGCAGCTCCAAAATTGTTCATGTAGCCACAGAGGGTCATGGTTTATAAAAAGCATGCTTGTACAGCTGGAAGATGTGTTGGAGGGTGATATCTGATGTCAACATCATTTCAGGC